GAACAGGTGGTGTGGCTGAGGCCCGACTCATTCATTGCTTGAACGCGCTTCTCCCTCCACGGCCCGTCCCTCCCTCTTCCTCCCTACCTGGGATTCACCTGTCCCCGCCCGGCCGGGGTCACCGTGACTCCAGAGGGGGCAAGGATGGAAAAGCGAAGGGAGCTTTGCAGTCTGCAAACTCCATGTAGTGGCTTTTATAATTTACACACAAGCCCCCCCCCGGCTTTTTTGAAACCCATGTCTTAGTTTGAGAGCAAACCTGCCCCACCCCGCCATCCTTCTCCGGAGGTGGGACTCATTTCTAGGGGGCGGTCCGGTCCGGTCCGGTCCGGTAGGAAGTTCTAGTACTTAAGTACTTTACTTAAGACTGTGAAGTTTTAAAAACACCTATACAAAAACTTAGCCGAAACGATATAAGAATCTTTTGAGATGGATCTTGTTGACGCTAGCTCTGTGTTTCAGATATTTGCAGTTTGCATAAGAAACGCATGCAGTGATACTTACAGAGGTACTGGATTGAAGCTGTTTACATTGTAAACTATGCCCAGTCGTCTTGGTGCTGTCATTAATACATTGTAGCACTTTTGTTGTTGTTTGGTATTTAGTGTATGAGTCGCTTCTTTTACACAAACAGTTCTTTAAAGAACTGTATTTGCCAATTTTAAGACTTGAATGGCGGTGGTGTTTCACACCTGTAATGCCGGCACTGGAGAGGAAGAGGCAGGTGAATGGATCTCTTGAGTTCGAGGCCAGCTTGGTCTACAGAGTTATACAGAGAAACCAGGGCTATACAGAGAAAAAATGGGAAGAGGGAGAGATTCGTGTATGTGTGTGTGTGTTAGCCTTTTAGCTTGCAGTTATAATTCACTTGTTTGACAAATATGGAGATCTAGGGTTTGTTTGTTTGTTTTTTCTTTCTCTAAATAACTCAGCAGTTGAGAGCACTTGGGCTCTCAACTGCTTGAGAGCCAGAGGTCTTGAGTTTAATTCCCAGCAACAACATGGTGACTCATAACCATCTATAATGGGATCTGATGCCCCCTTTTGGCGTGCAGGCATACATGCAAGTAGAGCTCTCAAACACATAAAATACATAAATCCTAAATAACCATTTATGTCGAGGTAATTGATTTTACAGAAATATCCATGTTGTAGATTAATGAATTTGTGTTGAAAAACGATAGTCACATACTATTTAGTGGTATTTTGTTTTCATACCATTTGAAGTGGAATTGTAGCATAGTTTCCCCCCCTATGTTCTGAGACATCTTTTTCCCTGTCTGTCTGGAAAAAAAAAATTAAAAAGACATAAACCAGATTTGGCAGCAAGTGTTTTCATTCACTGTGTCGTCTCATTCACTGAAGAATAACAGTTGCTGTTATTTCTGTGCTGGAAGGCTTTGTGCATTCGAAGCAGGTGATCTACCGCGGAGTTACACTCAATTATTTTAGGACTGATGTGTAGGTAGAACTATAGCATAGTTTTCTTGCAACATTTACCCACCCACCCCCTGTCCCCTTATTTTTCTTTATCTTTTTTTATAATGCTGGAGGTTGGACCTTGTGCTAAATACAAGCAGAGCTATGTTCCCAACCCCCTCATCCTCTGTTTATACTGATGGGGGGGGGAATCTCTGAAAAAACGAGAGTATCGAAAAATATTTGTCTTTTACCGATATTTAACAAATTGCCAAGATTACTTTTTCTTTCCGTACATAGAAAAAAAGAAAACTGTATGCTTATGCTTCACTCCTTAGAAATAAAGACATGGCCCTGTATAGTTATAATACCATTAACAGTTTTTTTCTAAAATTCAGGCTTTTCAACTGTTAGTGACACCTTTTCATTGTTTTTTGTTTTTGTTTCTGTTTTTGGAGACTGGTTCTGTGTCACTTTGGAGTGTGTCCTGGAACTCGATTTGTAGACCAGGCTGGTCTTGAACTGTCAGAGATCCACTGCCTCTGAGTGCTGGGATTAAAGGTGTAGGCTACCACGCCAGGCTCAGTCTTTCTCTATATTTCAGGCAGGCCCCCATTTCTTAGTATTCCTTTTGCTTCAGCCTTCCAGTACTTGGATAGCAGGTGTGATCCACCATTCTGGGCACAATCAAGTGTGTGCCTCTGTGTAATATGCACATGTTGGGGTTGACTCCAGGGTGTTGCACATACTGGGCAAATACTCTACCTCTGAGTAGTATATATCTCCTCCCCTAAAATTACTCTTATTTTGAGAGAGTTATAAAGTCAAATGTAGTTTGAGATATTCTTTGTATATTTTGCTTACTTTTCCAAATATTATATCTTATAAATCTTATAGTTGATTGTAACATTGATAATGTCTACCAATTTTATTCATATTTCCCAAGTTTTATTTGTAGTTGTATATGTGTTCATTTCTATACAGTAGCTATTACATGTGTAGGTTCTGTGTCTGCAGTCAAAATATAGTTCTACAGTAACACAAAGGAGCACTGTTTTGCCCTTTTAGAACTACAACCACCTATATCCTTCCCATCCTTTTCTCTCACCCTCCAGCAACTGTGATTAGTGTTTCTCCTATTGAAGTAATTTTAAAGGACTGTTTCCTAAAGAGACTCACAGAGTGTATATAACTTACAGATTGGCATTTCTTTAGTGCAGCAGGATTTCCTTGTGGTTCATCTAAGTTTTCACTTGTATTAGTAGTCTGTTATATTTTATTGCAAAGTAATATGCTATAATGTAGATTTAGATTTAGTAGAGTTTGTTTAACTATTTATGGAATTACAGTTCTTGGTTGTGATGGTGGGACAAAAATCTTTAATGTTGTTGCTAAAATCACGGTGCAAAAGGATTAATTATTTTAAAGCAATTTTTTCTTTTTATTAGAAAATTATTTTACATGTCAATCCCAGGTCCCTCTCCCTCCCCTCCGCCTCCCCCCACCCCCAACTAACACCCTACCCATCCTATACCCTTTCTGCTACCCAGGAAGGGTGAGGCCTTCCATAGGGGGCCTTCAAAGTCTGTCATATTCTTTGGGATAGGGCCTAGGCCAACCCCCTTGTGTCTAGACTCAAGGAGTATCCCTCCATGTGGGATGGGCTCCTAAAGTCCATTCCTATGGTAGCAGTAAGTACTGATCCATTACAAGAGGCCCCATAGATTTCCAAGGTCTCCTTACTGACACCTATATTCAGGGGGTCTGGACAGTCCCATGCTGGTTTCCCAGCTATCAGTCTGGGGATAAAGCAATTTTATTGTGTGTTTGTATGAATGTGTGCCTTCGTGCCAACACACACATGTAAGGGTCAGAGAACAGTTTCCCAGAATTGGTTCTCTTCCTACCATGTGGGTCCCAGGCATGAAATTCAGATCTTTAGGTGGCAAGTACTTTTATTCACTGAAAGGTTTTGCTAGCCAGTTAAAAGATTTATTTCCATAAGACTTAAACAAGAAAAATGTGTAAATCTCTAAATGAAAGAAGAAAAAGAGATACAATGTTTTTATTGTTGACAGACATTAGGAATGAAAAAAATGTTACCAAGCAAAATTATAGTTTTGTTTCAAAATTTCAGCTTTTACAGTGTTAGCTCTTGCTTGATTTTTTTTTTTTTTTTTTTTTCCTGGAACTCTGACCTCAAAGTTACAGAGATCCACCTGCCTCTGCCTTCTGAGTGCTGGGATTGAAGGCATTCACTACAATTCTGGAGAGCTCTCTTGATTTTCAAGCTTTCTCTTCCCCCACTTTTTCTTGTCTGATAAAGGAAAAGTTGGGCATACTCCAGTGCTAAAATCAAGTGTTGGTAGGTTGCTGACGGTAGCACTCCTTTTGTTGTGGTGTGCCATACTTAGTAAACTTACATAGGGCCAGTTCATGCTTCACAGAATTATGAACTGTCTCTGGCTCAGTATTTTAGTGTAAACTCATGTAATAGTATCACTTTGCACAATTTCATAATTTCTACAGTGGATTTACTTGACTTAGTTCAGTTTGTTTGATACCTGCAATAATATTTGTTACATATTTGCCCCTCCCTTTCTCCACAGTGCTGTTTTCTGACTAAGCATTGTTATAAATTGCTAAAAATATGTGCAAAATATTTCTTGTCTCTAGTTCATCTAGAGAGAAAGAAGATTAACTGGTGTTCTATTTTATGTGAGATTTTTGCTTGGTTGCTTACCAGTCCTTTTAAAATTTCACATCATTTTAATATATTTAGAAAATTAAATCATTTAAAAAATTGTAGCCTCTGCATACCTTTCCTGCTGTTTGTTCATCTAAATCAGTGGTTCTCAATCATCCTAATGCTTCAACCCTTTTTGTTCATGTGATGGTGCTCCCCAACCATATTATTTTCCTTCATAACTGTAATTTTGCTGCTTTTATGAACTGTAGTGTAAATATCTGTATTTTCCGATGGTCTTATGCAACCTCCGTGAAAGGGTCATTCAATCCTCAAAGGGGTCATGACCCACAGGTTGAGAAATACTGATACAGAATAGTTTGAGAATTGTCCTAGAATTGTCCATCATTCTATTTGATTTTTCCAAACAGAGTTTCTCTGTGTAGCCTGTCCTAAAACTCACTCTCTAGATCAGGCTAGCCTCAAACCCAGAGATCTGCCTGCCTCCATCTCCCCAAGTGCTGG